CTAACTGGTGCCTGGAAGTGTTCAAAATATCTGCGTTTACTGTAAGAGAAAAAAGTGAATCTTAACGACTATGAACTATTTTTACGTTCTAGTCATGCGAGAAACGGGCTGAAACCACTTCAAATAGTGGAAACTTCAAGTCCAAGGAAAAAACAAAAACTGCCGTAATGGGAAAACTAGAAACGGTTACGTAAAATCGCATTAGAGTGACTTCCCAGATTGGTTCCACGAATAAATACTTGAAGCATTTCCAAGATGATAATTAGTTGATGCTCGCTCCGCATAATCGGGCCAATTATTGCAATCTTTTCGTGATTCTGCATCAAACAAAAGCGAAAGTTGCAAAACACAGGCCGGTTTCAAGCGATACTTCAACTAATGAGGAAGCACAGCAAAATTGATGAAATATCGAGGAAATGAAAGCGGCCAAACAATGCAGTCGGTCAAAGGTTTTAAACTCAGGAAGTAAGCCGATGGTGATGGCGCTTCGATTTTGTAAAAGCGAAAATCAATGAAAGTTTAAATATTTGCTGCTGTTTGCATCCACGATTTGTGAATATTGATTAATGGACGATCTGCAGAGAGTAAAAGCTTTTAGGGGCGTGTGGATGGCAAATAGACAATCAGCAAGCAATGATATGGTGTTGTTGAGAAAGTGCTAATTTGATGAGATTCACAAACAATTTTCCCAACTGAATTCGCCTTATCAGTAATGTTGAGGTGGAAACTAGGGACTTTTCATTAAACCCATTTTAGACAGATACGCTTGCAAGGAAACAAAATCATTCACATAACCAGCTTGTTATTAACCTTAATTATATTAGAATGTTACACAATCCATTTTTTCTTGGTTTGCATAACAGTTTGCCTTGACTTTTCAATGCTTGAGATGCATTTAATGGTTTAAGAACCCAGTCTAAACACGCGTTAAAGTGTAGTTTTGGCATTGACAACGTGGCAAACGTGTGTCTCATGCATCCGTTTGAACGATGATACAAAAGTGTTTCTATTGGTTGGAGATCTGTCAATTCGTCCACGTCGTACGACGACGGACGAATTGACAGATCTCCAACCAATAGAAACACTTTGGTATCATCGTTCAAACGGATGCATGGCACACGGGCTTTAGTCCCAAATAGGGATGGGAGAAAAACATCGATGCAATTCGTTCGATGTTCGATATTTTTACCATCGATGTTGGAAATTTGGCACATCGCTAAAACATCGATGTTAGATCCTGAAATGAAGACATCGGACTAGATGGAAACATTTTCTGCGAACTCTTTGATAGTGCCGATACAAACGATAGCGCGGCATAGGGGGCATTTCCAGCTGCACCCGAAAAAGCCTCTTTTTGCAGTCAATTGACCGAAAAAAGTGGTAAATATAAATGAATAAATTTAGTCGATTATTAACAATCCATTAAAATGAAATTATTTAAGTATAAGTTAATCAATTTGAAATTTGTATGCAACTGCAAACTATCAGAACATCGATGTTCTGCCCATCCCTAGTTCCAAACGAGTTGAGTCTATTGACGTGAAACTTTTTGCAGTCAAAGTAATTTTTTAATCAATTTCAATCGAATGTTCTATTCAATAGTTTTTAATTAACCGTAATTGCCGACCGCTTTAATAATATTAATAACCGCGTTTTTCAAGCAGATTTCTTGCTAGCAAAACCTTGGGTAAACATTGTACTAAGCATAGATATATCCAGAGAAATCGGCTTACTCATCTCGACTAATTACGATTATCGATCAGGAATTACAATAACAAAAAACAAACATTATTATCTACACGGCGTGAAAAAAAACGTAACGTGCGTTATAAAAACTGGAACAAAACCTCCTCCTCGCTTCTGGTGTATGTATTTTTAGACCGACTAATGATTTAATTCTTTGTGTTTTAGCCTTGATCTTTTCGATTGGTAAAAAGCGGTTGTCTATGAGTAAAGGGAATCGGTACTTTCACTTCATCGATTAGATAATCGGGCGTATGGGCTGATGAAAACTGGAATTTACATGAAAAGTTCTCGGAAAAACTGGCAACGCTGAATCTAATCAAATGGCTGAACCAAAAAATACGCATATTTGAACACAAAACTACCGATTTTCATGCTTATCATTTTCACCAAGACTTTATAAAGTGGAGCACGCTGTTTTCGACGAAAATCAAATCTC